CCTCGAGGCCCTCCTCTCTCCTCGCCGCCGGGTCGGTGCCTGGAGCCCCGCGGCCAACTCGGGCGCTTCCTCCTCCCGGGCTCGGCTCCGAGCCCCGCCCCCACAGCCTTCATCCAACCTGTCCTTCTTAATTGTGCCCCATTCTTCTGAAAACCCAGAATAGATCCCGAGACTAAATATAATCCCAACCCGGGATCGATTCCTGGGGCGCTGTCTCCTTTCGGAGCTGGGTCGATCCGTGTGTCTCGGTAACTCCAGGCTGGCCCCCACCTCCCCCGGGGCCTGGGCGCCAGGTCGCCGGCGTCTGCCCTCCACGTGATTTGGTGGCATTTCCTCCTCTCCCCCCGCCCCCTTCCGCTCGCCCGCCCGCCAGGACTGCAAGCTCCTTGAAGGCAGACACCGCGTTTGACCTCTCCTTGCTCCCACGCCCACCCCATCTTCCGGCCAACAGTGAAGTTATAAATGCCGGTTGGCTGGCCTTGTGCTCAGGTGCTTTGCTACTGACCTCCACCAGTCTCTGATTTATGAAGACTGGGAATGGAGCTTCCAGGTCTCTCAACTTGTTTAAAAAAAAAAAAAAAAAAGGCAAAATAGAGACACCAAGAGGCTAAGGGAGCAGCTCTCTTGTGGGGCTTCTGTGTAGCTGCACCTCTCAAAGGATGTCTATATTGCCCCTTCTTTAATGCACACCCAGAGGGGGACAGGGTCCTCCTGGAAGAGGGACCTGGGGGAGGACAGACATCCACCTGGGACTGGGATGAGGTGGGCTTCACTGGGTTGTTGAGCACAACAGGGTGGGCCTGGCCTCAGTTGTGGTCAGGTCTCTCCTCATTTACCTGTTTTCCAAGATCAAAGTCCTGCAAAAAATTAAAATAGCTTGGAATAATCAAATTCCAGCAAATGATGGAAGATTTGGGAGCTGCTCTATATGTAACCTTTTGCTATGTCTTATAGATTCATTTCTACCCATTATCAGACTTTTGGAATTAAATGGCTTTTACAGGATAGGAAGATACTAGTCCACTTAGCTTCTGTGACTCCTAGTGGGCACTAGAGTATTTAGGAAAGAGGGTAGCAAAACTGACCACTGTTTAATTAGTCATAATTTAAACAAATGAACACCCCTCCTTCATCTCCCCTCCCCCAAATTAGGGAGAGAAGGAGGACTTCACAGGACAAAAAAGAATGGCACAGAAAATGGTCACTCCAACCTCTGGGAACTAGGGACATTACTTGCCTTGGCTTTATTAGAAGGGTCATTGTGGAGGTGGAGAATGACTGTTTTATACAAAATAAATAAATGTGTGTTATGGAGGATGAGGGCATTTCTGTGGTTTGCACCCGTTAAAAGGCCTGAGTCCACTGCAGTAGGGCTCTGCTGGTTACCTCCTTCATAGTGGGAGCAGCAGCTTAGCCAAGCTCCCAGAAAAACCCACTGGACCTGCCCATGAACGTCCCATCCCTCTGTTAGCCACAGCTGCTCTGCCTGGGGAGCCCCTGCAGGTGTGGGAGTGGTTGGGGAAGCAAGGAGAGTAGCTACCCCAAACTCCAGAATCAGCCATAAATTCAGTAAAGACTGTCAACTACCCAGACATGCTCTTTTGGGGCAAAGTCATTGGCAAAAAATACAATACTGTTTCAGCTTCTTTCCTGGAAACAGAAAGGGAGACCTGACCGCCCCCCCCCCCATGTCCTTGGAGTGTATTGGAGGGGCATTTTATCGTGGGAAGTGGATAGAAAGGGCGAGTGACTTTCCCTTTAGGCAAATTTAGTATTACTTCAAAGGCTCCTCAAACCAAAACCAACTGTTCCTCAGAGAGTACACAGCAGGCCACTCATTCATGCGCCAGGAAAGACTAGCCAAGACTGTCAAGGCAGAGAGATTTTGAGGCATCAGGGACTGGTAACAGTGCTCCCTGCCCCTTGGCCTGGGTCCCAGAGCCTTAGATGCACCATGAGGCCGTGGAGAGCTGGGACTGGGCCCTTCCTTGCAGGGTCCACCTCTGTGCCCAGCTCCAGGCGTAGGGACCCCTTGGAAAGTGAGGGTTCTAACCCAGGGGCCTGAGTCTATCGGCCCTAGACCTCAGCCTGCAGATGGGAGACAGAGGCTGTGGGCGGGGAGGCTCGGCGCTCTCGGACCTCAGCAGTGCCCGCAGGACAAAAGCCCTGCCAGCCGGACAGGACACTTACGTGCACACGGTCTTGATGTTCGTCTTGTCGTCCAGGCCCTGCGGGTAGTTGGCCATGCTGTCGCCCAGCTTGAGCAAACAGTCCGAAAAGCCCTTAAAGACTGCATCGCACTTGCCCGCTGCTCTCACGGCCTGCACCAGGTAGGCTGCGGGGAGGAGGGTACACCGGTCAGCAGCGCTGCGACCCCGCCCCGCCGCCCTGCGTCCCGCCCGCGAGCCCCTGACCACACGCGCCTAGCATCGGCCCTCAGTCTGGGCCAGCGCCCCCTCCTCGGGCGCGCCTGTGTTAAGGTGTCGAAGGTGAATGAGAGACCTGGCCAGGAAGGGCTGACCTGCACTAAGCGCCGCGTCTGGGGTACGCTGTCGGCTGTGAGAGCAGGTGTGGGTGAGTTCATTTCTTCTCCCCATCCCTCCCGCGTACCGCTCTAGTTCTTTTTCTGTTTCCCTCGCCCCCTCTTCTCACCTCCCTCATCTCTTTTATTTCTCTTTCTCCTCACTCCCTCCTTCTCCCAACACTTCCCCGGCGAGCCCGGGTACTGGCTCTCGCAATGCGATCTTCCATTTTTGAGGTGGCAGAGGGGGGTCTCGAGAGCAGCGTGCGGGGGCGAGAACGGGTGGGGAAGCGGCCGGGCGTGGGGTCACGCGGCCGAACCCCACGCCACACTGCGCGAAGAAGCTCAGACTCCGTCCTGGGCGCCCAGCAAACACTGCTGTGTGAATGAACGAATAAATATTGTCTCTGGCAGCCGCCAGCAGTCACCGAAATGGATTGTTTCGTTATAGAACCGATTGTCTGCGTGAGGTCTGTGTTCTGGGAACCCTCGCCCCGCCCCACTGGGAAGAGAGCAGCCGGGGCGTCCCAGACCCAGCGGGCAACGAGTGGTCCCGGGCGGCCAGGGCCACAGGCCGGACCGGGTCACGGATGTGTCTGCGCGTGACCCCGGGCCAACTCCGAAGAGGCCGAACCCACGAGCCTCGGGCCCCCTGCCCCCCTCCTCTGTACGCCGCTCAGCTCCCTACACACCCAACACTCCCCCGAAGAGCCTGCCACCGCTCGGGAGGGCCGCGGCCGCCTGGTCCCAGCCCCGGGCTGAGCGCCGAGTCCGCCGCCGCCTGGGGCTCAGGGCCTCCGGCTCGGGGCTGCCTCCGGAGCAGGGGCGGGGGGCGAAGGAGGAGGAAACCCAGGACGCATGGAGGTCCTGGGTCCTGGCCTGGATAGGCCCAACGGCGAGGCATTGGAGGGAGAGCAGACTCCAGGCCGCCGGCGCGCTGCGGGGGCCATTTCTTTTCACTCCGAGGCCGATGGGCCGGGCCGGAGGCTCAGTCCCTGGCGACCCAGAGCACCCTGGCACTAGGAGGGCGCGGGAGAAGCACGGATCTGCGCTGCTGGGGCAGGGAGAAGAAAGGATGCCTTTCGGAATCGAAATCCGCACTGGAGCCCACGGCCTGGGCGCCGGCCGCTTCCCCCGCAGTGTCCTGGCTGCCGCGGCTCGTGTGCGAACGCGTCCCGAGGGGAACAGGCACCTCTCTCCTTCCGTCCCCCACACCCCCCGCGCGGCCGCCGGTCCCCGAGCGCCGGGCCAGACGCTTTGGAGGGAAGGTGACCCAACCCGCAGCAACCTTCCAGCAGAGCCTCTGGCAAAACGCGGCAGGAAGAGCGAGGCGGGCCCTGCGCTTTCTAATCCGGAACGGGAAGCGCTGGGGAAGGGACCAAGGTTAACTTCGACCTCCGCGGGGGCAAATACGTAAACCTTCGTGATCCTCCCGGTTCCCTGCACAAAACATTAAGTACCCTTGCGACTGCAATGAGCAGATCGAACGCTGCTGTGGAATCTTCGGAATCAACGGATTTTTGTTCTACTAGAACTCGTTCAAAAGGAAATAAACTCTACACATCTCTCCAATGCATGTCACAAATGCTGCTTTGAAGCAAAGAAACGAAACAAAATACAGTCCACTCTCCCCTGCTCCCAGCCTCTCTCACCCCTTATCTCCACCCCAAAAACTCTGTGGCGAAAAAGAAGCCCCCGAGATGCACTGACAATTTTCTAAAGAGGGGATTTGGGGCTCGCCGGGGGCGGGGAAGTGCGCTTGTCACGTTATCTTTCCAGGCGCTGCCGGAGAAGACCTTGCACAGCGCGCATGTGTGAGTGTGTGCGTGTGTAAAATAAGAAGTCGTGAACATTCTGTCTTTCGCAACTGTGCCTCCTTGGACTATAGCCTTCTCGAGGAGGCCGGGAGCTTGCGCGAGGGACAGATTTTGCAGGCGCACGCGTCCCAGCAGGTCGCAGTCCCCGTGTCCCTAGCTGTGCGTCCTGAACCCCGCTTGGGGGAGGCTCGGGCGGACGACCCTGGCTCCTTCCCTGTCCTCTGTAGCGTCCCCTTCTTGTGCGGTTTCCTTCCGTTCATTCATTCGTTCAGCCTCTCATTCATTCCAAACTTCCTCCCGCCGCGTCTTCCTTCACGTTCACCACCCTCTCTACCTCCCCGCCCCTCCCCAACCCCCACTTTTCTTGCCGAATGTCAAAGCTTTGGGACAGCTCCCAGCCATGGATTAATAAAGACCGAGGCTCTGGTGCAGGATAAGACAGACCTTCGGGAACAGATACTCTCAATTTCAATTCCACAGCCAACAAATGGTCATTTTCAGGCAGAGGTTAATGTGTTCAAAACGCATCCCTCATGCACAACCACCACCTCTTCTTGATTTTTTTAAACCTCCTCTCAAAGTCAGGTTATTTCCCGCCGGGAAAACAGAACTCTAACCCTTCTCCGATTAAAATCCCGATATTAAGAACGACTGCTGTCTCCTGATCCTAAAAATTCTCAGGCTATTTGCAAAATGCCACATTCACTTATTTCCACCATTGAAAGGATTGGGAATATTCTGTCATTGGAATATTATTTATTTACGGCAACCTTTTGCACTGAGGTCAAAGATGTGAAAGAACCAGATTTAAAGCATGCAGTCATTTCTTAGAATTAAAGAAAAATGCCAATATTCCACATTCACACACTCTAAAATACCTATAGTGCTTTTGCATAAAATTAGTAACTCAAAATCATGTCAGATGCATAAAACTCCACTGCAAAGAATCTATTTTTAATGTCCAGAAAATTCCAAACCCTGTTTCCTCCACAATTCTCCCGAAAAAACATGTTATGCCTCCTCTTTCTTGCCCCAAGCCAATTCCCTGAGGCACCCCCTCCAACATTACAAGAATTTGTCTGCAAAGAATGCTACAGCCTGAACTGATAGGAGGTAACAATTTCCTCCCTCTTCACAAAATGCTTTAAAAGAGTTCTCCCCCCCCCACTCTCATTAATAACCTGCTTCACTTTCACTTTTAGGTCACGTTAATTAATGTTCTGATCCTGCCATCAGCGAAGAACCCCCTTGCATGCATTTTCTTCATTCTGGATGAAAAAATAAAGAACTTTAAAAAGCCCCCTGATAGTGTAACTACGACTCAATGTTCCTTAACATAAAATGGGGACTAATTAAATCCATCCACAATCAACCCCAACAAGCAAAAATAACAAACGCCCCACATGACATATTGCAAACACTTCTTAACCCTTTCCTAGATATGAAATACAGATGCCAATGTGTAAAGTAAGAGATAATCATGCCTAGAAAAGTATGTCATTTGGCAGAATTCACCCTCCTCAGTGGCAAGCATATTAAAATATGTGATCTGGGGGGGTCCCTATCATTCTTGATTTGCCCCCCAGCCAGGTCTGCGGCTCCTGGTGCAAACGCTGCAGCTAGGATCTGGGGGGAGGGGGAGCGGGAGAATGACAAAGTTCTAAATGCAGCAGTCTCAGACCCGGAATATCTTTGCTTTCTGCACATAAACTTTCCAGTCCTGGTTGCCTAGCCATCTTGTTCTTGCATTCACCTTTCGACCCTTCAGAATAATATCTTGCGGTATCGCAGGGGCAGGTGCATTGCCCCAGAGCGCACAAACCCCGTCTAGCCCCAGAAAGGGAAGCAACAATGGATGTGTGCTTTGGGGAAAAAAAGAGGGGGAAAACCCCCATCCAGAAAACGGTCGGCCGCACACATTTCCCGGCGAACGTTTGGAGTCTCTTTCCTTAGGAAAACTGAACCCGGACGCGCGAGTCCCAAGGAGCCGACGCCCCCACCCTCGGGGGTTTGCCGGCTTCTCCGCACCCCGGGGCGACCGCGGGCCCGCGGGTCACCCTCCGCGCCTCGGGCTGGGGCTGGCTGCCTCCCGCCGAGAGCCGGGTTGGGCGGCCACTTACCTATTTGCACCGCGAGGATCAGTGAAATATATCTGCCGTTCAACTTAAGTCCCATCCTACGTTTAGTCAAACCATTTGCGACTGCAGACCTTTAAATAGTTAGTTTAGAGAACGCGGGGGAAAGCCGAAAAATAGGCATTGCCAACAAGTTCCGGGAGCGACGGAGACTTTATGCACCGAGAAGGCAGAGGGAGGAGAGAAAGAGAGGGAGCGAGAAGAGACAGAGAGAGAGAGAGTGAGAGAGAGAGAGAGAGAGAGAGAGAGAGAGAGAGAGAGAGAGAGAGCGAGAGAGAGAGAGAGAGAGAGGCTGAGAGGGGGGAAAAGCCGGGAATGGTTCACTCCATTAGGAGGGGGCGGAGGAAGTACAGCCTCACGCCCACGAGCAGGCCTGACGTGGGGGATGACACGGAGTGATTTTTTTTTTTTAATAAAGGCACCTTGGTAGAGAATCGCCATTTATAGTCATTAGACGCTAGAATTAATCAGATATCTCCAATTAATCCGAACGAAATCTTGCCTC